AGCAGTCTTAACGTAGCCACGTAGGATTGAATTCCTTCGTCAGGTATTTGCACCGTGCTATTGAATGCGTGTCTATCCATTATCACGTTCCGTTCTGGCAAGCTTATCTCATCAAATTTTTTAATTAACACATCAGGATCCTCTTTGTCCTCATCTTCTTGAAAGTGAAATGACTCATATTTATCTAATACATCCGAACCGGCTAAATTGAGAAGGGTGTAAGCTTGCACCTTCTTTGACTTGTCGGACAGTCCTGCTTTGCTGTACACGTTCCATTCTCTCTTGAATTTCAGCCAGTTGTTAGCGATATCATCGTCAAACACGAGTGGTTCTATGCGTCGTAGATTTTGAGCCATGATTTGTAAGCGATCCCACTTCTCTCACCATGTAAATGTGCACAAAACACAGGAGTCGTGTGATAACTTTGTATGAACTCCTTTTAATGTGTAACCACCACTGAATAAGAACCAACCTCTCCCTTTACTCATCTCTGCCCCCACATGTCCATCTCCAAACATGCAGCTCCCATAAACACATGTATGTGGGACACACACACATGTTCTACAGATACCAATCTAGCTATAATTTCAGATCTCGCTATGTCTACGGAGGCACACTAGTCTACGAATACCACAAATCATTTTCATCTAAAGCAGCAACGTACATTCAACGCTTAATCAGCGTATGGACTGGTCCGTGGTCGATCTTGCACTAATTAGCAGACACCTTATGGGCCACCGAGCACTGTCATGCTCACCCTGCGGTTCATTTTTCCACACCGCATCTCTCTGCCCTAAGACCGCTTCAACTCACGACACTATGTGCTTCGGCGCCAGGAGAAGCTATGTCCAAGCATTGGTTTGCCTCACGTCTCCGAACCGCATGCCCCCATTGTGGCATGGACCCCGCGCTTATACCAGGCATTCGTTCCGCATAGGCGCAGCAAAACACCGCAGCTTCAACAGTCTCCATACCCATGCTCAAATCATGGGTCGGTGGTCATCATCAGCGTATCAACGATACATTAGGCCTTCAACTCAGGATGTAATATTAGCGCAAAAGCCTCTTCCGTTAAAAAAAAAAACACAACAACTCCGCATCACGGTACCATAAGGGGCACGCTGCTCTCCTACCCCTCATGCCAATCTCAGGGACATGCTGCTTTGTTCTTGTGGTTCTCCCGCAAACACTTCAGCCTCTCTTTTGAGCTCCTTAGGACCCCTTTCAGCATGCTCAAACAGCATACATGTTCTGATTGCTGATTCTAATGTCAAGTCTTTCTCCCTTAACAGCTGAGCACGTACTGCATCATTGTGAATGCCACAGACAATTCGGTCTCGTATTAGTTCATCAGTTAGCGAGCCAAAGTCACATTCTTTTGCCAGCAGTCTTAACGTAGCCACGTAGGATTGAATTCCTTCGTCAGGTATTTGCACCGTGCTATTGAATGCGTGTCTATCCATTATCACGTTCCGTTCTGGCAAGCTTATCTCATCAAATTTTTTAATTAACACATCAGGATCCTCTTTGTCCTCATCTTCTTGAAAGTGAAATGACTCATATTTATCTAATACATCCGAACCGGCTAAATTGAGAAGGGTGTAAGCTTGCACCTTCTTTGACTTGTCGGACAGTCCTGCTTTGCTGTACACGTTCCATTCTCTCTTGAATTTCAGCCAGTTGTTAGCGATATCATCGTCAAACACGAGTGGTTCTATGCGTCGTAGATTTTGAGCCATGATTTGTAAGCGATCCCACTTCTCTCACCATGTAAATGTGCACAAAACACAGGAGTCGTGTGATAACTTTGTATGAACTCCTTTTAATGTGTAACCACCACTGAATAAGAACCAACCTCTCCCTTTACTCATCTCTGCCCCCACATGTCCATCTCCAAACATGCAGCTCCCATAAACACATGTATGTGGGACACACACACATGTTCTACAGATACCAATCTAGCTATAATTTCAGATCTCGCTATGTCTACGGAGGCACACTAGTCTACGAATACCACAAATCATTTTCATCTAAAGCAGCAACGTACATTCAACGCTTAATCAGCGTATGGACTGGTCCGTGGTCGATCTTGCACTAATTAGCAGACACCTTATGGGCCACCGAGCACTGTCATGCTCACCCTGCGGTTCATTTTTCCACACCGCATCTCTCTGCCCTAAGACCGCTTCAACTCACGACACTATGTGCTTCGGCGCCAGGAGAAGCTATGTCCAAGCATTGGTTTGCCTCACGTCTCCGAACCGCATGCCCCCATTGTGGCATGGACCCCGCGCTTATACCAGGCATTCGTTCCGCATAGGCGCAGCAAAACACCGCAGCTTCAACAGTCTCCATACCCATGCTCAAATCATGGGTCGGTGGTCATCATCAGCGTATCAACGATACATTAGGCCTTCAACTCAGGATGTAATATTAGCGCAAAAGCCTCTTCCGTTAAAAAAAAAAACACAACAACTCCGCATCACGGTACCATAAGGGGCACGCTGCTCTCCTACCCCTCATGCCAATCTCAGGGACATGCTGCTTTGTTCTTGTGGTTCTCCCGCTGGAGAGAACACCACTGCTGCATATTTGGGGTCAGCCGTCAGTCGTCTTTTTCTTCTTGTGCGATTTTATGGCGGTTGACAAGCCAACTTATGGTGTATTACTGCCACCAACTGGACTGGAGTGTGAAGCATTAACGGGAAAGAGGGAAAAAGGAACCAAAAAAAAAAAACCAATTCCATAAATAAAACAACCGGTAGTATTATGAAATTTAAATTCTACTTTCTAATCCTGTTATCTTCAGATAACTAATAATTTCTCTCATAGTACTTGTCTGTCCTGAGGCACGACTTAAAAGATTTGATATAGTGAAATTAGTTATTCCTATGTTTCTTAAATAACTCCTTTCTTTCTTTGGTGTATATACTGCACAATGTAAAAGTACATGTTCTTTTTCAAAGACATGTTCAAAGACAAAAGTCTCTGCTTCACTGCATGTAGTACATAATCCTGACTGATGTTTCCCTATTGTGAATAATGAATGATTTAAACCAGAATGTCCTATTCGAAGTCGAGTAATTATTATGTCTTTTCTATTGTTAAAGCATACTCTCCCTTTGCCAACTTGTTTTTGGATATTGTATAGGTGTCTGCCGTTTAAATCCTTGGCCCACATTTCCTGCCACTTTTTATTCATGTGTTCTTTAATTCTTCCTTTTTATTTCTACTTTACTCGGTGGAATTTGTACCTCAACGTTCATATGTTTCATTGCTTGTTTGGCCAGTTTATCGACTATTTCATTTCCTAGTACTCCTACATGTGCAGGTACCCATAAGAACCTCAGGACTATACCAATTTCCTGAATCCTAAACAGATCTATAAGTACTTCATAGATTAAATCCTTTCTTGATGTTGATTGTTCACTTATTAAACTATTTAAAGCTGACAAGGAATCTGTACAAATGACTACCCTAGTAGGCTTAACTTCCTCCACCCATTGAATAGCTAATAAAATTGCTATTAGCTCTGTTGTAAAGACTGATACAAAATTAGTTATCCTTTTCTGAATGTTGACTTGTAATATTTGGATATATACAGCTGCAGCTGACTTTCCTGATGTAGGATCTTTAGAACCATCTGTGAAGATATGGAGCATTGTCAGCCGTCAGTCCCTTGCAAAGCTTCGCAAAGAAAGAAGAAGAAAAAAAAAGGGGACTGCTGTTTTCTCCCGCTGGAGAGAACACCCTTTGCTGCTATAACTGCAGGGGCCTGCTGTTCTATCCCTCAGCGAGGGACGAACACCCCTCGCTACTTAAAATTAAAGAGGGGCCTGCTATTCTCTCCCTTTTTAGAGGGGAGAATACCCCTCCGCTAGGCAGTAAGCTATATCAAGAATATCTCATAACATTGTCTTTTCTCTTTTGCAGGAATGGAACAAGGATGGTTTTGGGGGGGTTCTTCTTCGGGCCTTAGTTAATACCTCTTATTATGTTGGGGGGGGTTAATGTTAAAGCTCTTGTATGTTCAATTTATTCTGGAGCAAAGAACCCCCATAGGAACCATACCGCCAAAGATAAATTGTTTCAATAAACTCAAGTAACTTGCCAAAGTAGTCCTGTCTGAAATACAGGTAAGCACCATTAACACCATAAATGCTCTAGTCTAGAAAATATTTGTTTTGCTTTTATTTATTATAGAGGATTACTTCATCCAAAACTGATAACTGTGTCATCATTTACTTACCCTCATGTTGTTTTGGAACAGTCTGATTTTATTTCTTTAGTAGAACATGAAAGATCATTTTAGGCTTTTACTATATGGAAAAGATGCATCATGCAATGATAATGAATTGTAACTGATTAACATTTTTCAGCATAAGTTAAGTGTGCATTTGTGTGTGTTTGTTTAAAGTGCAACATATAGCAACACATGAAACCCTGGAAATTACACATCTTCAGGAGACAAAGATGGTAAGTAACCAATGTAAACATTGTAAATTAGTTATATATTCCACCATTGATTGAGTTTGTCTTCAACATTAATACGTTCACTTTTCTGTTGTCATGTTTGTTGTAGCAAGATCTCCTGGCTGGCTTATTGCTGTAATCGTGGGGAGTGTGATTGTGCCTGTTTTCATCGTATCTGTTACCATTTGGTTTTGTTGGAAAAAGACAATAGTAAGAGAAGTTCCTGTTATAAAATTGTGTGTTCAGTATTGCTGTTGTTGGTAATGGGATGTACCGCTTCATATCACTATTATTGATGTGCCTGCCAGCTTATAGGCAACACAATAAGCATTAAAACAATATTACAGGTAGTATATTGTTTTATAGAATGTGTAATATTTATCTCCTCTTATTTATATACTATTATATATCATTTGGAACTGTTAGGTATAGGTAGGAATAGTTCTGTGAAAAGCACTTTGGCATTGAGTGTACCTAAAAACCAAAAGTTTTTGACCATTTTAAGGCCAATTAAATGTATTCACAACAATTAATTATAGCCTGTGCACACACTAGGCCACAACAGACTTAGGGAATGCATTACTCAAAAGTGTGAGCTGAGAGACTAGGCGCTTTCGCATCGCGTAGTTCAAGGAACTAGCCAGCAGGATCGTTCCTAGAGAACCAGTTTCTCCCTCGGGCCGTTTTCCTGGTTGCATTCGCACCGGCAGCAGGAACTCTGAAGCAATCAACCGTGACGTCTTTATTATATGAACAACCGGTTGATACTAAATCTCCTATGACAATTTGTAGTGTTATCATCGAGGCTGAGAAAAGAACACAACGCTGCAGACAACAGGTAAATGTCATTATCGCTGTTTTCCCTGTTCGTGGAGTAGCCTAAATATTTTTACGTGGCTTTTTAAAAATGCACTGTAGCGGGTGTTTCGTATGCGTTTGGCCAATCCGCGCTGCTTTCAGATGAAAGAAAATAACTGGTAACTTGATTGAATAATTATCACCATTGTTTGTTCAGTAACAGGAAGCTTTAAGCTTGTGGTACAGAAAACCCATCAACAATGAAAACAAAGTATTTATTATTATTAATACATTTTAGTATAGGTTACAATTAGACTCGTACATGCCTGAAAGACTGAAAGATTCTCCGGTTCGCGTTTTTGGGGGCGTTTTTGTGTGCTTTGGTAAAGCATATGGGTTTTCTGCCTATGAAGAATTCGCGTTCAGACCAAAGTTATAGGCTATAGCTTTTAATTATATTTTTCATTAACTTTTCATAGGCCTATTTATTATAAACCTGCCAGTTTAGTTTCCATTTTTATTATTTAAATGGTCTATTTCTGTAATAATAATAATTTCAGTATTTTAATTTGCTAATGAAGTTTATTTTTTTTAATATACATATTTAACGATATAAAAAGTATGTATTCATTTTACCCAAAAATGTCAACATTTTCTCAATTAATCCTCACATCGTTCCAAAGCCGGGGTTTCCTAAAAAATCGCCAACCAAATATGCTGCCAATATCAACAAATATGGTGACAATATTGTGGCCATGATTTGCGAACAGAAGAGAACGAATTGATAAAAAATCTGCTTAGGTTACAGTTAATTTAAAGCGATGGTAGGCTATAGTTATTAAAATGTGCAGGCCTATTAATATAGAGGTAACGACTTTTTAATTTGTGGCCATAATTTTTCCCCGCATGTCATGTGCGGGGCATGAGATCGGGTTGGCGGAGCTCAGTGGCAAGGTTTTGGTTTATTTGTGTGTATGCGCGCGAGCTTGTAGGCCTAGTCACAGTTTTGTCTACAGCACTCAGCTGCTCCCACCCACTCACTGCTGAGGAAACTTCATTTTTAGATGTTGGGTACTATCTTTACTACTATATTAGTAGTGATTGATGACCGTTTTTTTCTGGGTCATGTCCTGATCTCACTACAACTGCCTCCGCTGTCAGCACTCTGCTGTCTCTACTGTTCGACAATACCTTAATAATAACAGCAGATACACTCTTAAAAATAAAGGTGCTTCAAAAGGTTCTTCAAGGGTTCTTCAAGCGATGCCATAGAAGAACCATTTTTGGTTCCGTAACGAACCATTCAGTCAAAGGTTCTTTAAAGAGCCATCTCTTTTATACATTTTTATAATCTGAAGAACCTTCTTTTGCCACAAAGTTCTTTATGGAACCATTTAGACAAAAAGGTTCTTCTATGGCATCGTGAAGCACCTTTATTTTTAAGAGTGTAGTGTAAAAAATATATATATTTTTTTTTTTCGTTTTTCAGTATTGTCAGTTTGTTAAAAAAATGTTTTTGGGTAACGAACCATTCAGTCAAAGGTTCTTTAAAGAGCCATCTCTTTTATACATTTTTATAATCTGAAGAACCTTCTTTTGCCACAAAGTTCTTTATGGAACCATTTAGACAAAAAGGTTCTTCTATGGCATCGTGAAGCACCTTTATTTTTAAGAGTGTAGTGTAAAAAAATATATATATATTTTTTTTTTCGTTTTTCAGTATTGTCAGTTTGTTAAAAAAATGTTTTTGGTAGTTTTAGCTTTTTTTAATTTTTTTTTTAGTTAGCTACATTTTACGTTTAAATGTCACTATTTGCTAACGAAGATATGTTTAACGCTGCAAAATATGTTTATTATTTAAACCAAAAAATATTTAACAAATAAAAATCTTGTTATCTTCATGTCGTTCCAAAGCCGGGTGCGTTTTCCTAAAGCATCGCTAGCCAAATATGCTTGCAATATTTAGTCTACCAAATGTGGCAATATAGCTTTCAGTGTATTCACAGGTTTATGGCTTTCAAGTCACAATCTGCCCCTGACTCACTCAGGAGGGAAGCTCGGGAAAAGAGGAAGAATTGTGACTAAACCTTACAACTTACTAAAACATTACAACGGATTGTCAGAAGACCACTTGTAGGCTATCCTTGTAGCAAACGGGCATTGATCACTTTGGCACATAACCTCCCGTATATATACGGGAGAAAAATAAATGGTGGCCAAGAATTATGAATAATGCACATTTTATTAAATTGTTCAGTTGACAGGATAAAGCTCACAGTTCATTTGTGTGTGAATGCGCGTGCAAGTCAGTTGAATTCATAATTAACAAAAAGAAAAAAACATTATAGCCTATATTGTTGCCTTGAATTTGATGGCCTAAGCATAAATTGTGTATTTATATTTTATAAATATAATTATGTGGAAGGGAAAAAAAAGACATTCCCAGTATGTTATTTTTTTAAAATATACAGCTGATGGCTACATTTGATTAGAATGATGATATGACTATTAAAGATATTTCAGGACAGATAAAGATATATCATTGACCTTTACATTTTACTCACAAATGCAAAATTTTTAACACAGCTTTGCTCGTGCCAACAACCCATTTATTTCGTTGACGCCACCATTCATTTTTAATTATTTCAAAAGGAAAGGAAAGGACGTGTGGCCAAGTATGGTGCCCCATACTTGGAATTTATGCTCTACATTTAACCCATCCAAGTGCACACACACAGCAGTGAGTAGTAAACAAACACACACACACACACACACACCGTGAACACACACCCGGAGCAGTGGGCAGCCAATGCTGCGACGCCCGGGGAGCAGTTGGGGGTCGGTGCCTTGCTCAAGGGTCTCACCTCAGTCGTGGTATTGAGGCTGGAGAGAGCGCTGGTAATTCACTCCCCCCACCAACAATCCCTTCCGGATAATTTTTCAACTTACCTATACAATATAAATATTTGCATTTTTTGATCACTGTCTTTCTGATAACATCTTTCTACTATATTCAGCTGATGTGCTGCACGGATAATTTTTGCTAAAATACAATGTTATTGCATTATTGTGCATATGATGCGTGACAAAAAGACCAATGCTTACACGGCCCTGATCCTACTGCAATAATGCATGTCATTCGGAATTTTTAAAATACATATTTCGTTATTTACTTTAATCATGGATCATAACCAATTTAATTATACACACAAATAAGCCTACACTCAAAACTGCAGCAGCTCTTTCATTTATAGCCTACCGGTGTCCAGTGAATCCTCGGTTCTCTCCCCATCGTCCAAGAACTCTGCCTCTATTTCCTCTTCCTTTCTTTTGACTCCAGATCTAGTCATAGGCAGTTCCAAATGCCCTCCATCTTGTCCGTCAACAGTTCCCATGGGTCTGAAATTAAATGTGTAAAGTTTTAGCAATAATTCTCCAGTTGTCATTGCATCTTTAATAAAAAATATAACACAATTACACTTTAAAATCTTGAGCTTTTCACTAACTGACAAATATGCCTTTTAGATTTCATCTTTACTTTAAAAGCTTCGGAAACCTAAATTCAACAAAAAAATCACCCAGTCTGCCAACATTGCGTGTATTTTTACTAAATGTAAACAAATAAATAAATAACAAATTAAATAAATTATTTGGAAAATTAAAACCTAAGACCTTGATGAAAGGCAACAACTCGATTCAATGCAGCATCTTGGAGGCTATAAGTTGGAAAGCAAATTTATTTATTTTAAACCAGGCAGGCTGATTTATTCTTGATGGAAGGTTTTTGACATTAGTTGGCCTTTCTAGCGCGCAAAAAAACTACTTTCCTCTCACTTCTTTCCTTTTTTTTTCTTTTTATTATTATTATTTTTTTGTGGGTCGAGACACTGCGGGTAGCCAGCTCCACATCTTAGTCAGTCACGCCCATGAAGTGCCGCAGTCAGACGCTCTGCATCTTTTTCCGCCTGTATCAGTGAGTGTTGGAAAGCGAGGACGCTCACATTCGTAACAGCAGCGATCCATTCCGATGGCCGGTTTTAGACTATTAGTATTTGTTATTCTTGCAAAGTCTGCGAGATCTAACGGTAAGAGTTATTCCACTGTAACAAAGATGTATTTGTTCTTAAAATCTAAGCGTGATGAACTCCGTACACTGATCATTATTTAGTTTAAACATCGCTAATGAATCTTAAAGGAATATAAAACCAGCGTGTAATTAAATGGGGTTTTGTACTTCTCACCAGAATGCCCTGCAAATCAGGAAATAACGTGTGAGAGCCTGCGCTCGTCCCATGGATACATATACACTGTGCCGCCGGAGATCCCGTGCTCTGAAAAGTGCGAACAAGGATGGTACTATCAGGTGGGAACGTTTGCTGTTCTGAATTTAATTGTTATAGGCTCTAGTTATCATTTAAAAACAGCCAAATGTTTAGTAACTCCTCGGTTTGTTGTTGTCTGTATAGAATGGGACGTTTATTGTCGACTCGACTCTGAATGCCGGTGGAAGGAGGTTACCGGTTGTAGTGGATGTAACTCCTCAGAATCTGACCATCCGTGTCTGCGACAACCTGCAGTGGCAACTTGACTGTGGCAAGGTAGTAATGAGTGTCTGTTTCATTTACACACAATAAATAAGCCTGTCTGTGGGGCTCTAAATGCAGTGCTACATTGTCAAGCCATTACAGACCAGGTTCTAAAATAGTATTTTCTTTCTGTTACAGTGTAACTGTATTATCAATTATACAGGTAAGCATTATGAAGCCTCACCATACATGCTCTAGAAACTAATACTTTTCAAATGTAATATTAAGTATGCTTTTGTTTGTCTAATTTGAAACATTCAGCAGCAAGTGACCTGCCAAGAAATAATGGTAAAGGCAATGGTTTACCCTTTAGAAGTCTTTCGAAGTCTAAAGTTTTGATACTATTTCACCTTACAAAAAAAACTCCAGTTATCCTTTTTACATGTATTCAGGTTTTCCTGGCTGGGGGATTGCTTTAATTGTGGTTGTGGCTGTTGGTGCATTTATCACCATTTTGTTAATTGGAAAAATGTGAGTGCCTTTTACAAAGTTGAGTTTTAGCATGTAAGGATGATGTTGTCCTTGTGTCTTATTAGAAGAATTAAAGACCATTACATTTTATTCATATAACTGGTGAAATTACATCATAGTTTTTTGTCTGTGTCATGTACACATGATTTTATTTTAACAGAAAGGCTTCGGACTATTTTACCCTAGGGCAAACTGCTTCTGAGTGAAAATGAGATTGTGTGGTGTAGTGGCAATGCTTTGTGCCTTCAAGCAAATCACCTGAAGTCACCTTCACCTCAGAGGCTGTGCCTGGAACAAATGTTATGTAAGCCACTTCGTTAAAAAGTGCTAAATTACCAAAATAATCTGCTACTGTAATTTCTTTAATTCTACTCATTGAATTTATGTATGATGTTTTCTGTATGGTTTTCACAAACATAACACTCTGTTGTTTTAGTAGCTTTTAGCATCTCATCTTTATGGATTGTATGAGCTTTGTGTGTGCCTTTTAATCTAAACGTACTGTAAATGCTACATGACATGCAGGATGACAAATGGCACTGGCATTGAAATGAAGGAAAACTTATTTAAAATCTAAAACTCATTTTAACAATAATGATCATATATATCATTAATTAATCATTTATGCATTTAGCAGATGCTTTATAAATATATATATTATGATAATATTATTTATAAATATATTAGTTTTTATAGAAATCTGGTATTAGTGAGAACTAAAATTCTCAAAATTTGTATTACATTGCACTACATCTGAGTGTGTATTTTAAAGAACTTTCTCTTAAGACGTTTCTTATAAAAGTCCATTTTCAGGATTCAATTTTGAAAAATTAAGGTAAAAAAAAAAGATCATATATTCTGGTCATCAAGCACTATAAAGATTTATGTTTTAACTTTTTTTTTGTATCACTATTTTGTATAACTTATATAACTTAATAATAAGGGCCGGACTGGGATGCAATTTCAGGCTGGGAAATTTCACAATCATCCAGGCCACACAGAACAAAAGGGGCCACACCCTTAAGGTACTAATTTGTAGGCCTTGCACTGCACCTTCACTTCCCTTTTCTTCATTTTCCCCCAATATCTCTCTCTCTCCCTTTTTTTTCTTACCTGTCACTTCTTCACCAGCAGGTCTACTGTTATGAATAACTTTTGTCCACCCTGTTGAAAACTACCCACCCATTTCAATGTGTTGTTGGCACAGAATGTTATTTATCTTGAACTTAAATACCCTAGATTTAACAAACCTATGTTACATACAAATATACACTACAGTAAGATGGTTAATGTTTTTTAAAGTAGTCTCTTCTGCTCACCAAGCCTGCATTTATTTGATCCAAAGTACAGCAAGAGCAATATTGTGAAATATTTTCACTATTTAAAATAACTGCTTTCGATTGGAATATACTTTAAAATGTAATTTATTTCTGTGGGGGGGGGGGTCACATTTTAAAATATATAAATCACATTTTAAAATATATTAAAATAGAAAGCGGTCATTTTAAATAAAAATATTTCACAATATTGCTGTTTTTGCTGTTATAATGTGCTTTATTTCATCCAAATATATTTATTTTTTTGGTGAGCAGAAGAGACTTCTTTAAAAAAAAAAAAAAAAATCTTACTGATCAAAACCTTTTGACTGGTAGTGTATTAACACACAATTTCTGAAGTGCCTAAACGTCAAAATTAGTACAATATATTTGTTGTAAAATTCTAATACTGAACACACTATTCAATTATTAGGCTGTGACTCATATTATTTTTGTGTTGCTGTCTGCTCTAGCTCCTTCCCTCCCTGTACAATAAATCCATGTGAATATCTGTGTCTGCTACATTTTTTAATGTAACATTACAATCGATATTGATGTCCTTTAGCACAGTATTCTGAATGGTGATAATAATGGGGTGCTGCTGATAGCCTAACAGAGCCTACTAGCAGCTTAATACTCAACTAGGTTAATGAAGACAAAACTATAGCGTATTTACAGATGAAACTGACCTGGACTTGAAGCCCTGAACAGGTCAGTGATGTTGCTACATTTCACGGCTTCTTCTGGCCGCTTCCTCTCTTTCATCGAGTCCCGCGCATCGGTTCTGTTCGGAACCGTTTGACGGAAGCACGGAACACACGTGAGCTGATTCGTATAGTGCAGCGCTGTCAGTCACGTTTATTATCGAATGACAAAAACGGAAATGATCACTTTGGTACATTGAGAAGGCATAAATATAAAACATTAATAATAATAATAACCAACTAAAAAAAAAAAAACAGGGCAGCGGGCCAAATCAGCCGCCAGGCCACCGGGAATTTTCTCGGTGCTCCCGATGGCCAGTCCGGGCCTGCCCCTGCCCCTCCGTCTGTGCACGCCACTGATAACGTTGGTAGTCACTGCGCCTAAAATGTATAATTGCAGAAAAAATATATACGTTGTATTGAACATTAATGGAGCAACAGATTTTGTGTGAAAATAAATAAATCAAGTTCTTAATTTTGTTTAAAAATCTTATAAATGTATGAGGAGGCAAGGGGGGCCTTTTACCCCACACACGGGGTAAAAGGCCCACGGTATTGATACAAATGCTTCAGCTAAAATAATTCTTAATAAATAATTTTAATAAAATAATGTCTAGTTAATACTTGTTCAAAACAATCACTTCAGCAAAGTTTGTACTAGTTTCTGCTTATTTTGAAAAATAAAGGAATTAATTTTTGTTCAATAAATATACGGTCATTAAAATGTTATTATAAAAAATATAATATAGAATACAGAATCAAAATCATTTTAATAAGTAAAGATTCTGAAAGTATTGAAGGCGATCCAATAATAATTGAATATATATTTACAGTAGTAACAACAAATTATATTTTATTATGATATGATTAATATCATGTTTTTAAATAGGATGGTTTCATTCTAAACATGGTGATTATCTCTAATATAGACACCCAACATAATGTATGATATTTACCATCTGAATCTAACCATGTCATGTCAAGAAATGGACAAGTCAGCCATCTATTAATTATCATGTTAATTACTGTGCGCCTTTAGCCCCAACAGCAGGGCCGCTTTTTACCCCAAATTCCATACTTTTACATATTCTTCCGTTATTTAAAAATTCAATTCAATTCAAGTTTATTTGTATAGCGCTTTTCACGATACAAATCGTTGCAAAGCAACTTTACAGAAAATTAAGTTTCTAACTTTCTACAATATTTAGTAGTAGCTTATCAGTGGTGACTGTCAGTTAATGTACATATGGCAGAAATGTACGGAAAAATCAATTAAAGACGTAATCAAACAGACGATGAACACTATTAACAGCAATTATTATATGATGCAATCAAACTTATAGCAAAATGTGGTAGTTCTGTAAGTTGTTTAAGGGTTGGCATCATCTGAGGTCCTCTGAGGAGTTGGCATCATCTCTTCTCAGGTGTTCTGGATCCAGACTGAAGCTTGTGTAAACCCTAGTTACCACGGGATGTCAATCCCAGCAGAAACAGAGAAACAAATAGAGACATAATTAGCGTAGTTGCTGTTCCAACCAAGCAAAATTGATTTGTTTAACCCAAGCTAAAGAATAATAATGTGCATTTGATCAGATATAACTGCAGTTCAAGATCATGAGATGCATTACTTGAATGCTTGGCCAAAGAGATGGGTCTTTAAAAAAAAAGTTGCTTTAATTATCTTAAAACTAAAAATTATGAAGACCTTTGTCTCAAAATATATGCATTAATTGTAGCGATTCTCATTTGCTACTTAAATCTACAACACTTTAAAAAACATCAAATATTAGATCAAGTAAGCACAGAATAAACTATTGCGCTTCGCACTAACATCTGAAGAACCTTTCTGTTTCACAAAAGATTCTTTGTGGCGAAAAAAGGTTCTTGAGATAATAAAAAGGTAATAAAGAGATGGTTCTTTAAAGAACCTATGACTGAATGGTTCTTTGTGGAACTAAAAATGGTTCTTCTATGGCATCGCTTGAAGAACCTTTTGAAGCACCTTTATTTTTAAGAGTGTATATTACTGCCTCTCAGTCACTGTTTTCAATTTATAACATCTTATATTAATATTATTCACAGACTACAAGTGAGTTCTTAGTAGGCAAACTATTCTGATTTGTGAACCAAGTCATTATTTTGGAAACTGTCTCCAAAAAGTTTTGTGAAGCTCCACGGAGAGAGTCTCGATGAGGGGACAGCACGAAAGGTCATGCGGCAGGTCACTGAAGGTGATAATGTTTGCATCAAGCGTGGTGTCTTTCATCGGGACACAAAAATGGAGAACCTGCTGGTAAACCAGGACACCATGGAGGTGAAATTGATTGACTTCGGGTGTGGTGCGCAAATGAAGAGATTTGGCTACGAAGTCTTCAGTGGTATGTGTTATGAAATGCTGTGTTAATTATCTCACAGAATTTCATCCTATACAGTCAACATGATGTGGAAATGCATTAAACGGACAACACCTCTTTCCTCCAGGCACAAAAGCGTACTGTCCACCAGAGGTCCCTATGAACGGCAGATACCATGCAAAGCCGACAACAGTGTGGACACTAGGGATCCTTCTATTCATGATGCCATGCGGATGTTATCCCACAGACTGACCTGGATCTGATCAGTAAGAGGAGCTAGACCAGACCTGGCCTGTCACAAGGTAAGATCTTCATCAAA